TATAGCAGAGGTTTGAGGAGACCTTAGCAGCCTGTCCAACATTTGATGAGATGTTTCTGGACCAAGGTGATGAACCTTAGTCTAAGGACAGAGTGGGTGGTATGCTGAAAACAGCTCCCATCCACTGTTGGTCTCCAGTCTGATATTCAGGCACACATGCACTCACATCCACGCCCCAACTGTCCACCTCGCTACGTAACAGGCACAAATGCCTGCACCAGCACTGAGCACTGCCACTGGACATAGTCTGCTGCAGAATCGTCCAATGAGCTGCGATGAACGAGGATGTCTGAGGTGTGTGCGCCGAAGTGAGAAAGTAAAGACACTTATCCAACAAAGCAGTGAGGAAACATAAAAAAGAAAAGACAGAGATGAAGACATGACAGTGGAAGATGTGAAAGACAGAGAAAGGGCTTCAGGTCCTGTCCATACTCCAGCCCCACAGAGGTTGTAGACCTGAGCTAGCGCACAAACACTGGGGCTAACGGAGGCCAAGCTCAGGTGAAATACAGCCACAGTAAAAGAAGAAACAAGAAAAATGAATGGAAGGAAACTGACCTAAAGACCCCAGTCCCAGTTTTAATATGGACCAGAAGTACTGAGGCAGATCAGAAAGCAAGGGAGGAAGGACGGAAGGAAGCAAGGAAGGAAGGAAGACACACCAGAGCATAAAATAAACAGGGAGAGATATTAAAACTGCACAAAGTCTCATTTCCACAAACTGAACAGAAAACACGAGCGCGGAGCTCTGTGGAAAAAATTCATGATGCGCCGTCTGAGTCATGAGCTGCTTTATAAAAACACTGTGGGCTAAAAAATGTTCCAGCAGTGTGAATATGATCAGAATATTAAACCAGTTATTGCTCTGTAAGCAAACAGTGCCATCCCAGCAGCTGCCATGTCAAATAAGAACCTGTATTCGAGATGTAGTTGTATAATATTTCATAATGCCATTCGGCAGATGGCTGGCTCAGTGCAGCCTTCTTTACTTTCATTATTTCTTACATTCAGACCTGGCACTTGGAAAGTATTCAAGTGTCCAGGACACTGGTCTTTAGACTGACCACAGCTGTGAGAAAAACACAGTTTTCATAAGTAATTTTATGAGCAAGTTGGGCCAAATTACAAAAACAGCTTGTCCCTGGTGTGCGACCATACAGACACAGCGAAGGTGTTGGAAGTTATGCTCAAAGAAACGGCTCTGACATAAAACATCTGATTCCTGTGTGTCAGACCTGAGCTCTGAGCAGAAATAAAGATCACCACCTTTATTGGCCAAGTATGTTCCACACAAGGAATTTGTTTCCAGTACAGAACCGATGGCAGCCATCTACGGCGCCAACTGAACCGATGGCTCTAACCATCAGGGAAACGGGGGGTTCCGTGTCTTGCCCAAGGACACTTCGACACGTGGGGGCATGAAAATCAGCTCAAAAACCTGGAAGCCAATGAAAAACTGCTCCTGCAGCTCCGTCTGTGGCTCAGTGTGACTGTGACCAGCAAAGGAAAGTCAACATGTTGAACTAATGTCAGTGTGTGTCTGTGTGTGTGTGTACTGCGTGCGTGATAATGACATGTTGAACTAATGTCAGTGTGTGTATGTGTGTGTATGTGTGTGTGTACTGCGTGCGTGATAATGATTTGCAGGGGCATTTGTTGCTCTGATGGGTTTAGACCTGATCTGAGCTGAGGCAGGAACTGGAAAGGTTCTCAGATCAAAGCTTATGTTTGACACTTGATGTCACAGACCTGAATCCGGAGACGTGCTGACACTGACACACACACACACACACACACACACACACAGGAGCAAGGCTGGGAACAACACTGCCACTTTGGAAAAACTGGTTTCTTTCTGAATGACTACAGTGGTTCACAGGATCATCCTCCTTTCACAACACTTCATGCACAGAGGAGAGAATAGAAGAAATAAAATGGCCATAAAGTCCCTGTGGTTCAGTAAAATGACCCAATGAACATCAAACTCTAAGTCAGTCAAATGAAACCAGTAAGATGAGTTTACCTAGAAACGCCTGTGCATGTTTCTGCATCACAAACGATGTGAAAGTAGATCTCAGAGCAACAGAAGTTTCCAAATACAACACCACCAGACTGTCTGATGCAAATTCAGCTATTTTGCACCTTCGTCTTCTGTCACTGAGATACTGTCACTGCAGACCTCCTGTCCATGTGAAAATGTACCAACATGCTTCAAATGTCTCTCTGTGTGAATGTCCATACATGCATGTGGAGTAAAGACTGCACGTTTAGCTCCTCTGCAGCAGCAACGGACGTCCTCCTAGACAATAATACATCGTTTGTCCCTTAGAAAACACATGGAGCCCTAAGCTGCTCACACCGTGAACATACGGGCGTGTTTTTTACAGGAGCACTGCGTCCTCTGCAGAACTCTGAGATTTTTGGTCAGTGTGAGGAGATGAAAACAAGCCAAGTGCTTCCTCAGTGCTTCTCTGTGCCTTTTTTGAATAAACTGCAGAACCACATGAGCTGAGACAAACAAACCAACAGCTACACCGACTCAGGTCTGCCCCGCTGAGTACAAATGATTCCCTCAGCGCTCTGAACCATGATACCGGCGTGTCAGTCCAAACTGACTGGACAGATTGCCATGTACCGCTGTTCCCCTCAGGCTGAATTGTAATTACTCTGGTGATAATCTGACTTTTCTTCTTGTGCCACCATCAGGTTACAGTTTTAATTTGCCCGTTATTTTGGTTTATGACCAAATACCTGCAAAAATAATGACATTCCCATTAGCCTCAGCTGGACTTTACATTGTGATAATTAGCAAATTCGTACAAACACTACAATGGTGAACAGAGTAAACACAGCTGCTAAGCACAGCCAAGTGCAGATCTACAGAGATTCAGAGTGAAAACAGCCTCGTGAGAGGTGAGTAAAGAAAAGGACACAAGAGGCTGGGACCAGAGAGATGGGACCAGTGAATGTAAAAACCAAGAAGCTTCTCTCTGACACCTCGTCTTGTGACTAAGGCTGACCACTGACTGGACACTGCTGCTGGTAACAGTGGACGGAGGAGCTTCTAACGTCCTGAGACACCGATGAAGGTCAGAGGTTTGTGAAAATCACTGAGGCAGAGAGTCAGTGTTTTTCTTTTAAACTTTGTTTCTTGGTGCCATTTTCATGTTGAGCTTCAGACGGTGGAAAAGATTTCCATGAGCTACAAACGACAGGCTGTCACATGTACAAGTTAGAGGCCCTGCTGCAGGAATTACAGCTGGAGTCAAACACCAGGCCATCCTGTAGACGGGCCAGCGTCTGTGCATGAAGACATCTTCCAGTGGACATAACAGGCATTCGCTCCCTTGGAAGTGTTTTACTGTGTCACAGCACCTTCGTGCTTCATGAGGATCCTCATAAGCTCCAGCTTAAGCTGTTGTTCCACCACCATCACTATGACCACATCAACACAACAAAACCAACCCAGGATTTATAGCTTCACACAGAAGGGAAACGAAATCCACACAATAAAACCAACCCAGGATTTACAGCTTCACACAGAAGGGAAACGAAATCCTCACCTTTTAATATTAAACACAAAAACACACATTTTAAATCTCAATCCCTAAGAAATTTATAGCACTTTTTATACAAATAGTCATTCTTAAAAATAAATCCTTTCCATATTGTCAGCATTCCTCACAGCCGACTTTGTGTTGTGTTATCACACATTCCCACTGAATCAAAGGTACTTGTCTGACACCGATGAGCACAGACCCTTTAATGCTGCAATAAAAACACTTAATCTATATTAATAAGGGTCTTTTCTTAAAGCCATATTAGATCCACTTTTATTAAAACAACAAAATGTAAACTTCCAACGAAGGGTGAATATTTCTAGACACTGCAGTAGAAACACATCCAGCCAAAGCTTGGTCCCGTCACTGGAGAGGCTCCACTGCAGGGTCCCTCCACACAGACTCCTCTGCTTTGTCAGCTATTCAGGACCGTTCCCACTTCTCCAGTGTGATCGTGGGCCAAACATGTACAAAACGTTGCAGACACAGCATCAGGATCAGCTGGTTGGTGTAGTCAGCATTAATAAGGTGGAGTGTGGCGCCCTCTGCAGGTCAAAGACCAAACAGGAAGCAGTTGGATATTCAGTCCATCCTACAGCTCTTTCTATATAGTAAAGAGATGCACGACTAAAACAGTTACAGACCAAGTGACTGAGTGGATTTTTACATGGTCTCCCTCAGTCAGTGAGGAAACATCAGCAGCAGGATAAATAGTATGAGAGCAAATCCAAGTCTGTGGAGCCAGTTACACTGAAAAACACACAGGCGGCGTGATTTTAACACTGCTTACCCGTTTCGACCCTGTCTGGGACTATGCCCTTTATTTTGTATTTGATAAATGAAAACATGCCAATACTCTGAGAACCCTGTAAATGCTCATCAAATGTTCTGCTGGCAGCCACAATGCAGTGATTAACAATGTCGTGCCGATCAGCTCACACCAGCAAACCTTACAATGCACCAGTACAAACTTCCAGTTACCCAGAATCTAACAACCAGAAGGTCAAGAATATCCACAGGCAAGAAACACACAACACACCAGCATGTACAGCTCACAGATGGGAGCCGTTATTTTCTTTGGAGTCTGATTTTGTTTAGCAAAACTGATCAAATTAAAAGTGTGCAGAAGTAGAAGGGACCAGTCCGCGTGCACGGTGGAGCCCTGGATGGTCAGACAACCGTCAGTGGATTACTGCGACACTGACCAGAACTCTGGATGGACATGGGGAGATCTCAAACACCTGAATGAGGGAACTCAGGTGGGTTTGTGCTGGAGGCCGCAGCATTTTGGACAGTAGTGACTTGAACCCTGCAACCAAACCAACATCTACCCATCAGGGAGGAGTCTTCTCTGGCACAGTGAAGTGAGCAGGTGAAGCTAACCTGCTTTTATTTCTCCTGTTTTGGCAGAAAGTGGAGCATGAATAAAACAAAGCTCAGTAGTTTTATACATCCAGAGAACATCTTATTTATTCTGTTTGTATTACAGTGATGATGTCAAAGTGTTCGACAGCTCAGCTTCATCCCTGGTTCAGAACATCATGGGAGCTGGACAGAGCTGCAGCCTCACAGGACGACTGACCACTGACAAAAACAAGGTCCATTAGCATGTGAAGTCTTGTTTTCATTATTTCCATGTCACCTAACTCCACCTATTCACTGTAGAGTGAAACTTGAATGCAGAATGAAGGAGCAGTAAGAGAAGTAATAGCTAAGACCTCTGCGGAAGGAAGGTGCAAACAAGGAGGTAGACTAAACTTTTTATAAATACAGTGAAGCATTTGTGGAAAAAGCTACAAAAATATAAGTACAGAGTGCCTTGTTTGCTCAGTTTACAGAGAGGACGTGGCAGAAGCTCTCCAAACCAACAGGATGATGATGAGGGTGATGATGAGTGACCTTTTCTGGTTTTGGACTGGTTGGTTTGGTGATGGGTGAATGTGGAAGCAGAAACATCACTGCTGACTATCCTGCGTGCACTGCACCTCCAGAAACAGACCTCTGGTGGAAAACTGATTTGGGAGAGAAGGAAGAAGTTACAGACACAAGAGGAGACGGAACCAAAAGGAGCCGATGGGGAAACGACAGCTTGTTTAAAATCAGGACAGGAGACAAGAGCAAAGAGGAAGGAGTGAGAGAATGTTGCATAATTAAAGGTAGGAGACAGGAAACAAGACAGGGACAAGGAAACGAAGAGGAAACAGGAGTCCACGTCTTCGCCTCACAGTCCGGTGTCGTTGTACGTGGGCGTGACCACCTTCACGATGCTCTGTGCGTTCTCCTCCACCAGGGGACGCCACGTCACCTCTCCTGTCAGCAGCAGGTCCTCCCCGTCCAGGGTGTCGATGTACTGCATCTGCACACAACAGAACTTTTACTTTAGTCGAGTACCAGTACAACCGGATCACAAGTCCTGCATTCATAATGGTAATAAGGTCAAAGTTAAGGAGTATTCTCAGCAAACCAAACTTAAAGACTCTGTAGTAAAAGTGCTCGTTCTGCAGTAATATGGGTCATGTGACTGATCTATGGCTATGAAATCCATTATTAGACTGGTAACGTTGTTGTAGCTGCTCGAGGTAGAGCCAGTTTTACCTTATATAGTGTTACTTTAGTCCAGAGGATCCCCACCTGCATCTATGTGTGTGGGGGGGGCAGTCAGGACTGGTTTGAGCTCATGACAAGATAAGTGACAAAAAAGATGCAAGACTGGACAGGGTAGGGTAGAACTTTGGATGAAAATATGTGGAAAGGAAAGGGAGCAGTGAAGCTGAGAAACCATGAGCAGGAGGCATTACAAGAAAGGGAGGGGATGAAAGAAAGCGAAGCTGAAAGGAGGGAGAGAGGCGGCCGTGGACCATGTGGGCCCTGACAGCAGAAGGAAGCCTGCAGGTGCTTCTCAAACCAGGAGTGTGAGGGAAAGAAAACACAGGAGAGAGAGGAGGAGGTGAGGAAGGAAGGAAAGTGCTCAGTGGGGGTGGGCGAGGTGGAAATATTGGCCCAGGATGAGCAGTCAATATCCATCCATCGACCATCTGCACCACTGGTCCTGTGGAGGTCACAGTGGGTGGGGGGCGATCAGCGGAGTACACCTGGACAGGTCACCTGTCTATCACAGGGCTGAAACCAACCTAACCTGCATGTCTCTGAACTGTGGGAGGAAGCCGGAGTACACGGAGGAAACCCACGCCGACTCCACACAGAAAGGCCCCGGTCAGCCACAAGGTTTGAACCCAGAGCCTTCTTACTGAAATGGAACAGTGCTAACCACTGAACCACTGTGACAACCCACACACGGTCGATTAACTAATAAAATAAACAGCCAAAGGTGTCATTTGTCCCACTGTTACAGAACACTAACCAGAATAAGGAGGTGTCAATCAAGCAGAGCGTGCGCACGCTGGCTGCGTCCGGAGAAACGTGCTAATCAGACAGATTAAGTGGAAACAGCTGTGTGGGTGAACGGCGGCAGCGTTGTGTCGTTAATGTACGACTTCACTCTGTACCTGTCAAATAATGTAAGTACAAAGAGCAGAGAATGGAAAGACCACGTCCAAATACCTGAAGACTGTCCTGAAGTACAGCGAGGACAGTTTCACCATCAGAGAAGTGGAACATGTTTAGTCTTAGAGGTTTTTTTTGATCCTTGAACGAATTTTGGATTTAGTTTGTTTTTTCTTGCCCCGCTCGTTGCAGCTTTACCTCCATGCCTTCTCCTCTCACACAGGTTTCACCACGCTGGAACCTGACGGGCTCGTCCTCCACAGACAGCAGAGGAGGAGGAGGAGGAGCGGTGATGTAGTAAAAGCTACGTGAACCAGCCCAAATAAAGCAGTAAATGGTTTAAATAAAGTTCACAAAAGAAGAATTCAGTGGATCACATGTATGTGCAGAAGACAGCAGGACTTCATACACACAAATCCAGATGAAAAATTCAGTGGACTTCATACACACAAATCCAGATGAAAGTGTGAGAGGTGAGCGCACCGAGGCTGAAGACGGAAACACACCTGTTTACGTACGTACTCCACCATGAGCTCCAGCTGTCTGGGGTCCTCACACTGACGGCAGAACAGGTTCCTCCACAGAGCTGCAGCCAGCACGCAGTCGTCAGACAGGATCCCCTGCAGACACAGACCAGAGATCACACAGGGCTCAAGGCTGAAATGTAGCTGTTTGTGTTTGACTGCAGAGATGAGAAACAAGTCTACCAACAGCTTCTTTAAAACAGCAAATGTCTTTTTTACGTTGACTGAACATCTACAGGATCCGTCTGGCCAACACGAGACTCACTCGTCTAATTAACACCACGTCCTCAGTCTTTACATTGAAAAACCCAAGTCTGTGACCTGTGGAAAACAAATAACTCACCTCATCGTATCCAAATATTGAAGCATAGAAAGTCTCTGTCATTGTTTTCATTACTTCCTTTCTACGAAAGGCTTCAATCTGCAGCAGAGGAAGAGACAGAGGAACCAATGTGAAGCACAGCAGAAACACATGTAACACTGGTTTCAGGACACCGTCTACCCAGCAAACACCAGCTGTGGTCTGGGCAGTAATACAGATGAGCAGACATTCATCAGTGTTTTATCTGTGAGGTCTTATTAACACGAGCCTGAGCCTACAGCCACGTTGGCACCGGCTGCAAACGTGGACAAAATCACCTCTGTTGTTAAAAGCTATACCTTAACTTCAGTCTACTTGTTTAACTTGTAACGTTGTGCTCAGAGCTGCACACCACCGACCAAAGCAGACCGAGGTAAATTTGCCCACGCTACAGTAGAACCTAACGGATGCCCTGTGACCATGTGAGCTGAGGATGGAGGCGAAGTGCAGCAGTGGTTCAGTGAGCACATGGGGAAGAGGAGGACAGCCAGGTCGCTGGAGAGCTGGGTTGGTTTCAAGTGAATGCAGCAGTAATTATGAACCTGGAGAAAATGACCAATGTTTTTACTGCACCTTAGCACAATCAGCATGAAACCTAAGAGCAACTGCAATCACTGGTCCTGGTGTAATAACCCCTGTGTGCTGCTGACGTTGAGCTCAATTAGGAACACTGTGCTGCACACACACATCCCCAACAGAGAAGATACTAATACATGATGTTTGTAGTACATCTGGCTGAACGCACAAAGCAGGAGCGGGCATCTGCTGAAGACGCCGTACAAGTCACAGCTGCAGGATTCTTGCTGCTTATCGCTGCAGCTCTACTTCAGTGTGCACGCACAAGGATGTGAACCTGGGCACGCCGCTGTCTGTTGTAGTGAAGGGAAGAAAAAGTCTTTAGTTTTGAGGCATCTTTGAGACCAACTACACACAACTGGTGTGTAACGCTCCTCTGTGGCTTAAAGAAGCTGTAAAGGTCCCTGAAAATGATGTGTTGGCTGCTTCACACTGAGGTCAGAGGTCACAGTCTGTACTGGTGGTGCCGAGACGAACAGATGGTTCCTGCGTTGGAAAGTTTCCTACGGTCCAATATAACAAAAGTTGGTGCAGATTAAATTTCAGATTAAGTGAAAGTTTAGGTTTTGAATTGGGGTCAAACTCATTGAGATGTTAATTCTCAGTCGCGTCTTGTGACAGTGCATGTATGTACACACGCTGACCAAAGTTAACAAATGCAGCTGTGAAAACACCTGCAGCATGCACACACACATCACCGTGCTGTGCCCAATGCATGCATGCACACACCAGGAGTGACCTCACAAACCACACTGTAATTCCTCATCTCTGACCTCCTTCTGTCACACACAGCGAAACGAGCTAAAGCCCCAGAGCTAAACCCCGTCTGCGCTTCAACCGTCCTACGCAGCCTCACCGAGTGTGATTTCACTGGTGTTTAGCTGATGTCAGCCACAGTCCGTCACGCGCTGCTGTTTGTCTGTAACCTGCCACAGTAACTGGCAGAGCACGACCGAGTACGGCGTTTGCTGGAGTCAGTAAAAACGACTACAGATATATTGGTGCCGATATATTTGTTCACTCCTGTTTAGCAACTGTAAAACATGACAGTACACAACGCATGACGGTATGTTTTCCCTCTATGAACCTGGAGAGATGACGGCAGTGTAATACCGAGCGTGAGAGCAGAGCATGTGATGTCAACGAGCGACACTTCCTGGAGCTGCTCCACTGACGAAGAATAGAGAACGACTCTGTGGACAAAAAAAAACGCTCTCCTGGGATTTAGCTCCACTTTCTGATTGAGGACTGTTGGCACAATTATGCTGATGTAAAAGTTTAAATAAACAAAACCTGCATCCTATGCAGCATGCAGGGGCACGACTAGAACTTAGTGCAACACGGCATCAGCTGAAATAGTCAGTACTTATTCTGCAGAATGACATTTTGTTGTTTTCAGGCAGAGAAACAGTTTGGAGGTTTGTGGTTTTATATTTGAGCAGATTTGTGACTTTTCAAAGAGAAAACTGAGCTGCTGTGGCTGCAGTCGCACGGCGTCTTAAAGAGAAACGTGACTGATAGTTCTGGTCATTTTTCAAATGAAAACACTTTCTCCACTGTTCACCAAATTGATTTAAGACCTTTTCATCCTGCTGATCTGAACATAAAACTAACAAACCGTAGTAAAGAATCAATTAACACCACACAGGCCCATGTGTACAATACCCAAGAGGCCCCTTGATTGTTGAACTGGTCATAAAAATAACTGGAGCCGAGGTTCTACGTCATTCAATCTGAACGCCTGACGAGGATTTGACCAAGCAAAAACCAAACCATGAATGAAATGTTTGGTTACAAACCCAAAGACAGACTGAACATTTAAACTCAGAACATTCTAACCACCAGAGCAACAAGCATTTCTGATTACATCCACTGCTGCAACACCTGAGTTCCTAACTCTGCGCATTGTGCTGGTGATGCCACACAAGGTGGAATTATTGTCACATGACATCACTGGTCTAAAGACTCTATAACTAGGAAACCGTGTGTGAGACCACAGGCACCAGGCTGTAGGTGCAGTCAAATGTCTATACAGTGTGTGTTCATGCTGCTGAATGATCTTGTGGCATTAATCCTGCTGCGTGTGCGCACACACACACACACACACACACAGAACCTACCCCCATCATTCTGCTCCTCTGCTCCACATCCTCCCACATGGAGTGGACGATGTACTGGCACATGTACTTTCCCGATCTGCCCTCCTGACGCATCCGCACCAAACACATCCTAACACAGGAGAGCATCAGACGTGAGGAGGCAGCAAAAGGCCCCTGGACTGAGTTCTGTCCGGCCAAGACCTCCATGACAAAATAACATGCATGTTGACAGAAGTCACAGCGTGTGCCCAAGAATGTCAGACACTTAAAGTCAAAAAGTGTTTACCTCATTATACAGTACACACATGTGTAAGGCACATCACATCTTCTCCATATCGGCCGTAAGCGTGAAGCTTCTATTATGTAATGTTCTTGAGTTATTGTGTTCAAAACAAAGCGTCTACACAGTCGCACAGTAACAGACACCAGCATGACAACATAATGTCCCGCACCACAATGAAGGCAGGAGATAAACAAGTGAAGGAGTGAACAACAAGACAGCAGGTGACACTTTACAGGAAAACACAACATAGGTGCTTGTGTGCGACTCACCACACGTGCAGCTGCGCTATCAGGAACCAAGAGTTGAGCGTGTCAGGGAGGGAGCACCCTGAAACAAGCACATGAACCCACTTAGACAAAATAAACAGTGAGCGTCACAGTCACACTTCACTTACAGAAGCAGCAGCACTGATGTGGGAACCAAAGCCCAAAGGTTCTACATCAACAACCCTGTCTGCCGCCACCACGTGGACTGATCTGAGCAAACTTTGGAACCGGATGACAGGAACGTCAACGGCCGAGCCAACACACAATCAACAGGAACCACACAGATACTGAACAGTGTCAAGTTTAGATCCACAACACGTCGCACAATTCCATTTATTTCACTGAACCAGTGTTTGCAGGAGTTAGTGGTTTTTACAAGCAGCTTCATTTTATTGAGCTTTTATGATGCACAGAAAATGAAACTGTCAGACATCTTATTTATGAAAACAGTGGTTTTTATTATTTAATGACTATTTATTAGCATTGATAAGTTACTGTTTTAGGTGATTTTATTAGGTTTTTCTTTGTAGCCACCAGGACCTGAGAACCTGATGTCATCCTTTTCATGTGCTTACACAAACTGAATGACAATAAAAGTCTTGATGCTGGGGGACAGGAAACGACCTGAAGAGCAGGAACAAACACATGAAGATGTCCAGAGTGAAGCAGCTGTTTACAGCTGCACCAACAATGAAGCTAATGAGTCTGAGGCTTCGACAACAGTCAGTCAAACTCTCAGTGAAAACAAAAGGACCTGTCAACAAGGTTAGTTGCTTTTACAGTTTGTTTACCGATTTGATCTGTACTTACTTTCAAAGAACTCGTCATAATTGATCCTCTCTACACAGCACGTGTACATCCGCAAGGCAGCTATCTTGATTTTCTGGGAAGACAAGGAGGAAAGCATCAGTAACAACCTGAGCCAATAAACCACATTAGCATGCAGCTAAAGTGCTTGAGATAAACATCGTATTGTGCTGACATGCAGTTCTCCTCTGGGCCACTGCTGCTACACCAACAACTGTCATAGGAAACTAGCGAGCGCCCAACACTGTCACACCCCAACAGTATTCAAATGAATGAATGTTCTTGGAAAATTGAGGTGACTTTATATGTCGAGCAACTTTCAAACACAAAAGCAATTGGCTGAATGTGCTCAACACCAGGATGGAAAACGCGTCCACGTTTCAACCCCCAGTACGTTTTGCACATCTCCTTCCAGGGTTTGAACAGTACGTCTTTTTACATTTATGACTGACAGGTGTCCTATATGATGAACCAAGTTAACTGCAACAACATCTGAGCAGAAATCAGAATCAGAATCTGCTTTATTGGCCAGGTGTGTCGGACACACAAGGAATTTGACTCTGGTACAGCAGCTCTCAGTGTGCATGTACATATCCTTATGTAAGGCAGCAGTGGGCAAGTAATCAATACAAGGCTGAGAGGACAGAAAGAAAGAAACAGGGCACAGGCTCAGTGATGTGTGACCGCTCACACCAAACTAGGCCAACACAACCCACACTGCTCTGCACACTGACACCTGCTTCACTCTTTGATCTAAAGTGCCCATGTGACCAGACTTTGCCATGGCTGCGATGCAACCAACAGCACATTTGTACCTGGAGGCGAACTTGAACTCGATCAATAATCCACACTTTGTTTTCAGGAATCAATAACTGACACATTTCCTGAGAGATCCTCAGTTAAAGGCTGAACCAGTTCTCAGTGCCCAATCCTAATGGTGATACTGGGATTGGGTTGTTTTTTTTCCAGTACCAGCACTTGTTCTTTTTGGCCAATGCTCTTCATGCAGTTTCTCAGTCGCTGGGAGGGGCAGCAACAACAGAGCACTACCATCAGCTCCCTCTAGCGACAGTAATGCCCATCATCTTCTCAGCCAGCAGCCGGTCACTGTGCCAGTTTGCACATCCTTGAGTCCAGTACATGTGCACATGTACACACTGCTCCTCCTGTCCACACTGGCTGTAGAGAGACCCCTTCCAAAAACGACTCCAGTGTGAGTGCTGAGGTACAAATCCACAGGTCTCTGTGTCCAAATACGTTCTAGGTTTCAGCAGTGAGAGTTAGCCAAACCAAGTGAGTCAGTGTTTCCCTGCTGAGTCACATTAGAAGGATACCAACACAAAGAGGGAATCTGGCACGAAAAAGACTGAGATACAGAGCTGAAAAAAAATGTACCTACCCTCTGAATGGCTGGCAGTAAGTAGACTGTGTGTTTCAGTTGGCACCTACAACCACACCTGTGTCTCTGCATTTTAAAGCCATGCGTGCCACAGTGGAGATTTGTTGGGCTGGGTTCAAGTCTGCGCTGTGAGGAACAGTCCTGGCGATGAGGGGTCAGAGCCCTTCTGCCCGTCTGAGACCATCATTATATCACTGTCCTCACACAGAAAACCCAACACTCTGGCTGCCTTAGTAACCAGAGTGTTAAACCAACAACCACCGTATTAGCTAAGACATTTCTCTTTAAAAGGACACTTACACATCAGTGATTACTAAAGCTGACATCTCTCAGCTTCATCTTTATTCTCTCCCCTCCCTGCAATGTTTCCCCAGGGTGTTGTTGACATGTCTGTACGCAACAACCTGTTGGTTGAGTTCCTAATTGTATAACCTTGCTTCCACACACTCCACTTTATCTGCCATCATTTTCCTGCCCGCTGACCTCCTGCTTCCCTCCATCACTCACCCATTTGTTGTATTTGAGTGGTCCTGTGAAACCCATGGCCTCAATGAGCTTTGTGAAGGCCCCGACTTCTTCCTCCGTGTGCTGGGGCGTCTCCTTCACGGCGCAGAGCTGATGGACACAAACAGTGAGAGGAGGATGTGCAGAGCTGATGGACAAGATGGACACAAACAGTGAGAGGAGGATGGAAACAGGAATGAAAGAGGGAGTGTGAGAGGTGACAACAAGGAAGGAAAAGAAGGAAATTAACTTACACTTATACAGCTCTTTTCTACAGACTCTGCAAACTCAAACCTCTTTACACTATATTTGCCCATTGTCTCACCCTTGAAGCTATAATAAACACGACAGAGGGGAGCCCTCACTCTGTTGTTATCTTACATCATTAACGTTTTGTTGATAAGCAAACACCGATAGCTTTGTCATGATGTATCTGGATGCATGCAGAGTAAAAGCATTGCATGTTCAAACACAACCCTACACATGGGTTTTAAATTTGTTTCCCTGTCAAAGTGTATGTGTGTGTTTCTGTGCATGCCATGTTACCTGTGTGCTGCTGTGCAGAGCCCGACATGGTGTTAAACTGGGAGGGGTGACTCTGGTCACCTGGCAGGCTACTAAAGCTCTGGTGAGGCAGGCTTCATGACCTGACGCCTGGATGGAGCCAGAGAAGGATGAAAACAGAGACAAGACGGGGGTGAGAGGTCAAACACTGAGAGAACAACATGCGCAAAATCCCAAAGCCTTAAGCAGACAGAATCACTGTAGCTCTAATGCTGTCCTGGCACAGATTAGAAATACTTTCATAGAGTATTAAACAGCCATGATGTCTGACAGGTAATTTAAAAAGTGGGCACAGTTTTCCCTGACATTCCCTGATTCACCTGCAGGCTATGATTCGTCTCCTGAAGCCCCACACAACAGGTGGATAGACAGAAACTTGGAAAAAAACACTTTGTACAAGGGTGTAGTGTTGATTCCAAGGTCATTCATGCATGTGCATCTCCTGAAAACCGTTTCAAGGAATAGGTGAGAACTGTTTAAGTTGTGGGTGTGACCCAAGCACCCACAGCCATGTCTGGTCCTGTCTGGATGTTTTTAACACACTTGCATATGTACATGGGACAGTTACTGATGTTTATTCTGTGACGGCCATTAAGGCCCTGAGAGCTTAAAGATGGCTGCTAACCAAGATTTAGTTTTGTGGCTGATCCTCCACAGTTCATAAAGGAAGCTGGAGGATAAAGGCCAAGGCAGACCAGTCTGAGATCAGAAGATCTGGCAACATTTCTATTTTCAGTTCTTCTTTAACGTGCATGACTTTTGTACCTTTTCAACAAAACAATACATCAAATGATCATGTCATAGTCATTCATAAACAGTTCATCTGCTGATTATCCAAGTCTTCATTTAGTCTATGAATGTTTTTTAAAAGTGGAAGAATGTCCACAGTGATGGCTTCGGTTCACTTCTCTGGTCTAATCATCAGACCAAAACCTCAAAATAGTCGGTTTAATGTCAAACAACAACAAATTCTCACATCTTTTTTGCATGATTGACTGAAAAATACTGATGATTAATTGGTTTCATGTTAGTTTTATGTGGATCAACATAGGGATTTAGGGACTACGTTAATCTGTGGAGATCAGTGACAACTCTGTTAAATAGGTTCTAGGTTTTAACTCTTACTACAGAAGCGGTTTGTGTGATGTTTGAGCAGAGCTGGGTCAGTGATGTGTCCACCAGAGACCAGCATTAACGTCAGTTAGCGGTCCACCTGCCAACCCACAGCTAACTAGCGTTAGTTCGTCTTATTAAACTAATAGCACGCCGTTTTGATGATATAACAAACACACACATACATACATTTCACAAAACAGACAACTTTCCTGTCTTTCATTTCTCCTCTGTGTCTGTGTTGGCCGTAAAGCGGCGTGTTAACTTAGCGTGAATCCTATTAGCAGCTAAGCTAACGTTAGCCGAAACACAGGTACCTCTATGTAGGCGGCTCTGGGCGCCGTCACGTTTAGAAAGCTTCTGGCGGAAAACTGCAGCATCCGCCGATACATGGCTCCGTGATGCACTAAACCGAGAGCTGAGGAGCGGGCTGCCACGGCACTGGGCCTCCCTTCTGGTTCGGTAACTCCAGTCCTGTTCCACGGCAATGTCAATGGATCTGTCCGACACACAATCCTGTCGGCCGGAAAAACGCCTCAGCGAAGAAAAGGTTCCGGGTGCTATCCTGGGTATTTTAAATATGTTCTAATTTCTACGTTTTCTTAATTATCTATTGCAAACGCATTATATATTGTCAAGATTTAAAACCAAGAACCCTAACGTTCATGTAATCTGCAGCTCTGGACAAAATAATAATATGCCTCCAGGACTGTTCAATTACACTGCATAACTACAGATATTCCCATCAGCCTCAGTCTGTGTTTAGTGATAATTAGTAAATGATCACTGGCCCTGTCCTGAATTTAATCTCATTTACATGTAGCATTAATTTGTAAGGAGGTGGCACTGTTGCCTTAGCAAGTAGTTTGGGGTTTTGAACTTTGCAGCCGACCAGGACCTTTCTGTGCGAAGTTTGCATGTTCTCCAGTTTCCTCCAGTAGCCTACTCCGGCGTCCTACCACAGGCCACACTGTGAGTGTGAGTGGTTGTCATGTCACACCTAATTGGAACCCTGAAACCAAGTCTGAACCCTCAAACAGCCATTTGAAAATGTGAGGACCAGACAAGAATGTATGTCCTGGCAAGTTCTGAAACTCAAACTAGTCCTCACAGTGTAAAACCATACAAGCACACACACATGCAAACACTTTAGAGCTTGATAAAGAAGAAGCACTAAAAGCAGGACCAGCCTGTTTTTAATGGATGTATTTTCTTGATTGAACAGAACAGGTGAGGTAATGTTTAAGTTACCTCGGCATCGCTTTCTGTTTTTCATGTGTCTCATTTAGAAAGTGTACATTTGTGTGTGTCAAGGTGACATGTTTTCCCAGTTCAGAGTCGTGTCAGAAAGGTCGCCATCATTAACTGTAACATATCTTGAACATACACAACTAGTATTACTCTCACTGTCCAAGTAAGTGAGTTTCTTGTTAAAGATAAAGCTTGATGTTGTTCTTATGCTTACTGACATTGAAAAGCAGTTCATATATTCTGACTTACTAAAATTCACCTATTTTCTCTCATTTTCAAATTACATCAAATGTAACTTTCCCGCCATGAATGAAAGAAGATCCAGTGCACGCAGAAGTAAATGTTCCTGCTTTATATTGTGTTTTTCTGTTTTGACCTGCATAGCCCTGTGACTCCTGAGTCACAGCTTGTCAACTCAATCAGTCACAGCTGATTAATGAAAAGAAGAAAAGGTGAGGACTAATGACTGGAGAAGTGAGTGAAAGATGAGTGGGGCAAAGAGTAATGTCATATCTAGCCACTGCTGTTTCCTCAGCGGTCAGTCACCTGACAACACACACTGTGTCCCACCTGCGACCTTGACATCCCCCAAAATGGCTGTAGTCATTAGTATTAGAAATGTTTGAGCCCATAAGGCTGACGGTCAAACTCAGGCATCTCTGGCGCCAGAATGAAGAATTCATTCAATAATAGAAAGTAGTTCAAAGTGTTTATTAGTCATATGCACAGTGAGGAAACGTGTTTCCCTGTACAATGAAATTCTTACTTTGCCGTCCACATGAATGCCACAAAATACAGATGAAATATAAAGTAGATAAATAAGTAACACAAAATCTAAGGCACTTTAAGCAGCGCAGATGCAGCAATATAGTAAAAAAATATACAAGAATATAACAGAATGTATGCTGCAGGGAGTTATCCTTTCTGACTGCTTTGATTCATCAGTGTTTGAGGGATATCCTGTTGAATTTCACCAGCTCTCTACACAAATGTAAGTGAGCTACTTCTCCTTTGACTATGTGGATATCTCTTAAGAGTTTTTCATCTCCATTGTGTGTGTGTGTGTGTTGCTGTATTAATAAAGCGTGATAAATGGCGTGTTCAGAGGAAGCGTTGGATTCCTGCGCTGCTCCTGTTCCTGTGAGAAACCTCGCTAAAGAAAGCAGACATAAATAACGGCTGCCACCCCACCATCCTGCCCGTAATACTGCACTCTGTGTGTCTCTGTTTTTCTCCCATAGGAGAAAAAGTGCAAAGAAAACAAAGGTCAAGGATGTATTTTACCACCCATGCACACACACGAGCGATGGCCCTGTCTCTCCTCAAAGACACATACAGTACTAAAGTGTGTATTTTATGTGTGACTGCTGAATCGTCTGCTCCGTCCACAGGGCAAAGAGCCAGCAAATGTCTCACCACACTGGTTAAGCACCTTGTTTCCACATGGTGAAAGAGCTGTTTCCGGGGGCACGAAGCCCTTAAATTGACCTGTAACTGATTATCGCAGCTTCGGATTAGATTCAGAGGCAGTTTACCTCATAATGAAACTGGCTGCATTCACCTCATGCTGCTCTTACACTAATGGGACCCTGAAAACAATAAAAGTGCACTCAGATTAGATTCAGAAGTTCATAAATGATGGTGGAACACAGGCCTCTTATTGTCTTCAGACCCTCCTCATATTCAAATAACGTTTTAACTCCAGTTTTCATTTCTGATTACTGGTAATATAACTACTGTCTGTTGGCAGCAACACACATTATCCTTGGATGCACTTTTTACTGATATGTTCACTATCAACATTTTACAACTTAGCTGATAATTAGCAATCTTTTGTAATTAGCTGACTGAAAACATAATCCAGGTAGCCTCATGTTTCCCTCAGAACACATTTCTCACTGCAAATGAAAACAAAATGGAAGAATGACCTTGGAGACAGGGTTGGCGACAGGCCCTCAAACAGGAAAGAGGTGCACAGCAGAAAAGGTGCGTGTGTGTCAGTAAAGGAATGCGAATGCAACAAAAACAAGGCTAAGGTTGCTTCAGGCTAAATTCTGCAGCTTGTGCAGAACATTTATTGACACGTTGAAGCAAACGAAGTCAGCTCATGCAGCTTCAGAGTTCAGCTCCTACATATGTAATAACACTGACCAATGGCATGAGCACAGACATTCCTAGTGACCTGCCAAACATGGTGTAACTGGATGAAAACGCAGCCGCCACACTGAAGCGCTTTCCAGACTCACCGTCAAACCAAGTCAAGACAGACGCCAAACTCAACCACTAATCCTAGGGTCTGGCGTGGTCAACCCTGTCTGCGTCCTGTCGTGTCAGGTGGTGTCTTCACACTATGTTGTCGCTTATTTCAAAATGAATCAAAGAGAGGAGAAGAGAAGCAAGAGCAACACATTAGAAAACAGGTGAAAAGTGGATAAGTAGCTGGATGCAGACTGAACAGGGTGAAAAATTTGACATTGAAATATAAGAGGAGAGGACAGGGTGTGTGAGTGTGTGATGACAGAGCAGGTCTCCTGCTAAGACACCATGATTTCCTGAGCGTTTAAGTGGTGGGGCTAAAACAACAACAGAAATAACACGTGTAAGCCTTAGGTTATGCTAACACTGCCTCTCCCTCACTTTCTGTTTCTCCCTGACTCCCTCCATCCTCCTCCTCCTCCTCCTCCTCCAGGCCTTGGCTCTTCCTTCACCCCAGGGGCTAATGCTACCAGTAACACCTACTGACACAGGCCAGGGTACCAGCCTGCTGTTTAAACTGATGATCTAACGGCCACAGCTGCTCTGCGAGTGTGTTCAAGCCCAGCTCCGTGTGTGTGTGTGTGTGTGTGCTTGTGCATGTTGTATGTGAGGGGAGGTATATTCACGAAACACAATATGCTTTCTGCTATTTAGGGAGGCAGTGACAGAGGAGTCGTCACAAGTGAAAGTGTGAGTGATGAAGTCCCCTGTAGAGTTCCTCGTTTAGAGTGAACTAACCTGTTACATGAAGTTTGCAAAGTTGTTTCTTAAACCTGCAATAACAGATTTTTTGGTCATAAGACAAGTTGTGAACTCAACACTGGCCTGCCACCACTCTTTAACTTGAATATGTTGAGCAAACAGCTGCTTATTTCCAGAGCAGCACCACCTGCTGAGGGAAACCTCTGGTTCTGGAGCTGCTCAGCGCTCCATTGTGTTCCCCAGCTGGTCTCTGACTGGCTCTGTCTGCTGCCGAGCAGGTCGTGGACCTGTCGTGGACTCTGTGAAAGTGATGAGAGTGAACCAAAGTTGCGGTGTGGACACAAAGAGCCGAGGAGAGCGGGGTCAGCAGATCCTTCTCTGTAGCTTTCATCACTACCAGAGATGCCTGAACACTGTTTTCACTGTTAATATGAAAACACTTTCAATAGTTTAAATCCTGAACTGGTTTTCATACACTTTTGCTAACCTTCAGTCTCCTTGTGCACTTCATTGCTGCATATCTTTGTATGTTATTGCAACCAGCTCTCAGCTAAATGGCATGAAAACAGCAGCTGGCTGTGAACTGCAGCACCCATGTCATGTATGCTTGTTTGTCCTCATGAAAGAAACAAAATGGGCATGTTTCTCAAAAAGTCATTGTGCTGTGGAGCTTGAAAAACACTGGAGCCTGGTGTTCCCTTAATGCAGCCAACCACAGGCATATTTTGTCTTTGGACTGTGCCCCCTGTCCGGTTCTGGCTGGTCAGAGCTGAGCTGCACTGTTTTTTGCAGATCGGCCATCGTCCCCAAATCTGGGCTATAATCAGCTCTTTATGTCATGCAGTTCACAACCCCCCTGCACTAAACCATGGCTGCAGTTGCTCTGATATTTTATACTTTGTGAGCACTTAGTTAAGAAAACACAGACCAGAGGAAACACTAGAATGTTTGGAGCAGCACACAGGTAGTGGCCATAACGTGCTGAAAGTAAGCTTTGGAAACGCTTCCATCTGTGTGATGAGAAAGGGGGGAGTACAAATTTTAACCAAATTTCAAGAAAATCAGCTAAATAAAATGCTAATTTATGTGTTTTTCCATCCACTACTATTCAGCTAATTGTAGAAGTTGGTTTGTCCAGATAAACAGCGGGTGGTGCAGATTTTCTAGTCGGGTGCCACAGACGGTGCAAAAGGATGATGTAGCACAAAAAGCTGCGATCAAAGCTCAAACTGTGAAAAAACGTAGGAACAGCGAAGCACAGCTGAACTGTGGCGGCTTCTGTCAGTGAAAAGCTCTCTGCTCCGTGACGGTGGCACAGAGAAACAAAAACTGGTTTTCAACTCAGTGTTTTACTGTATCTGTACATCAGCACTGAGAATAAAATGAATTATTATTCATTGTAGCATTTTATCTTGGCTACGGTTTGTGATTTATAGCTTAATGATTTAGGTTTCTAGGTGCTGGAGATACATCTGAGCATGATGTCAGGAGTAAGAGTAGGTTTCATAATGTAGGTTTTTATATTTTACTGCTACATCATG